CACACGCGCGCACACACACAGTCAGGCACGTGACCCCAAAAATACAAAACAGAAGCATAGAGGGCTTTGGTGGGAGGGAAGGGGTTCTAAATAAATAAACATCTTTACAGATAAAACACTTGGACTGCAGAAGTATCACTGAGGTTTCTGAGAAGGCCGTGCAGAGGTTTGCATGCTAGAAGGTAACTTTTTTGAGGGTTTCTCAGCAGACTGCCTGCCACCAGGAGACGAGGGCACTCCGGAATCCAGCTGGGAAGACTTGGATCTGCGAGCGGACAGCAGGGAATGTTTAGCAGAAGCAGGGTCCTTGGAGATAAGCTGCTCCTTTCCGACTGCACCGGCATTTGGCTGCTGCGAACCTGGCGGCTGGCAGCCTTTCTCAGCCTTGTCACCTGCGCTGCTCTTACAGACCGCCTTGACGGCGCTCCCGCCAGCCTTCTTGGACAGCAAGGTTGTCTTGCCAAGATCCGTCGACCGCCGGGTTTCCTTCTGCCTCAGGGCTGACTTGAAGAAGGACAGCCCCTTGTCTTCAGACTTGCTGTCCCTCTTCAGGCCGGCCTTCACGCTCATGCTGGGGGAGCGCAGGCTGGCCATGGAGGAGCTCCGCACGTGCCTGCCGTCCCCCCTGCCGTCCCCGGCTCTGGCCTGGCTCACGCGAGGAGAATTGGGTTTGGAGCTGGAGGTGACGCTGGCTCTGTCGGAAACCAGGCTTTGTCTGGAGCCCTCTCTACTCAAGCTCCTGTCAGAAGTCCTGCTCTTTCCTGGAGGGAAGGGGCCCCTTAGGGCTGGGCCTGAGGCTTTTTTGGCAGATGTGGAGGAAGCAGCGTGAGCGAGGGAAGATGCCGACTTCTGCTTCTGGAGCGATGGGGATGACACGAAGTCCTGGGGTTTGGGGGAGGATTCCTTTTTTGGGGGCAGGGGCAGGGGAGGAATGCCGTCCACTGGCCCGGGAAGAAGAATCTGCTTTGCTTCGGGAGCGGGAGGGCTTTGTGGAAACTTTGACAGGAACAGGAGAAGAAGGAGACGTACTGGAAAGAGATGATTCCTGGCTTGCCAAGACTGGCCTCCCCTTCCGCAAGCTTCTTTCTGCCTCAGAAGCGCCTTTGGAGCTGGGCGATCTCTTGGCTGTGCTCTCGGGTTTCTTTGCGAGTGAGCCGGGCTGGCTCGGGGGTTTCGCCTCTTTGACGGGAGAGCTGTCTACAGAATCGCTCTGATCCACATAAGCAATCTGGTTATTGTTATCAAACGGATCAGAGACAGGAGGCAAGTGATCCCCTTGTGCTGAGCTCTTGCTCTGTGTGTCTACAACACTGGAGTTCAACCTGCGGGCGTCTGACTCATCTTTGAACACACCTTCCATGACAGCCAGAGGCGCCCGACCCACAGCCTTGTGGTCCCGTCGACTGTGACTATCGCTTGAGTCCTGGTAAAAGCTAGAAAGGTTCCTCAAGCTCCCAAAGCAAGAGATGGAGACCTTGTCGTCCGCTGCCTCCCCGATCTTCTCCAAGGTGGAGGCGGAGGTGTGAATCGGAGAGTCCCCTGAGAAGCGGGAAGGGGAACTGGAGCGCATCTGCAGCTTGGCTGACAGGGACCAGGAGGGTCTGATGCAGTTTTCGTTGACCGCCAAGGGGCTGGTGACGGAAGATCTGGACGACAAGCTCTGGCGCTGGACGCTTCTCACGAAGGGGCGAGTAGAGAAACCTCCTGAAGGCAGCAAAGAGAGTATCATTAGGCTAAGGCCACAAAACATCTTGGTAATATCTAAAGATGGAAGGAAGATGGAAGGAAGGCGTGGGGTGAGAGGAGCGTGACCTCAGAGCCAGTATATCTAGGGTCAAGGGGCAGCTATGTGACTTCAACTTTTCTGAACCCAGTTCCCTTATGTGTAAAATAGGGACGTTCTAACTTAGGGATCAGCAGTGCCCCTTCTTGCTCTGTAACAGGGGTCAGCAGACTTTTCCTCCAAAGGCCCCCACACTAAGCATTTCCGGCCTTGTGGGCCAGCTGCTCAACTCTGCCACCACAGGGCAAAGGCAGCTGCAGGGAACAGATGGGAGTGGCTGTTCCAATATTTTTTTTTTTTTAAATAAAGGCAGGGGCCGTATTTGGCCTGTGGGCTATACTTTGCTATCCCCTGTTGTAACTCACAGAGCTCCCGTGAGAATTAAATAAAATCTTAAAAGTCCTCGGCCCAGCACCTGGCACCGTGTGGCTCCTCAATACATGTGCGTGACTTCATTTATGGCTTCTTCATCTTGCTGAGGACATCGGGGCTCACAGCAGGGACTCCCACCCAAGATCACACAAATATTTAGACACAGCTAATACCAGAACCACAGCCCCCTTCCCCTACCTCAGTGCCACGAGTAGGCTGTGTGTCGTTGACTATGAAAGCAGATCCGTGGAAAGAACTAAAAAGACAATACATTCCTACCTCCGGTGACTTAAAACTTCCAAGGAAAATACTCATAATCAGAACAGAATACTCCTATTTTAAGTGACTTAAAACTTCCAAAGAAAATATTCTAAATTAAATTCTGCACACACTTGATACTGCAGCTGTGGTATGTATAAAACTCTGGATGAGCTCCTAAGAGATGGGCCCTACTCTGTGGGCGCCACCCTCCACCACTGCAGGATCATGATGCTCAGCGGGTATCGATTTCACCAGCTACACCGCTTAAAAATAGATTGGGGGCAAACCATATCTAGGCTTATTCTTAAAACAACAGTGAATGTTAAGTTTAAAGGCTGCGCTGAAAATAACGTGTAAATAATAAACGAGCCAAGGTTCCTGGTCAGTTTTTCATAAAATGTCAGGAGCTACAGACATCAGCTTAGCAATTTATAGCCCAAGACTCTTATTCTATAAGTAAAGAAGCAACAGCCAAAGGAAGGGGCAGAGCTGGAACCCTGTCGTAGGTCCTTCTCTGGCATCCGTCTTCCAACCTCCTGCTCCTTCCCTCTATTTCACGTTCTCAGAATTACCCACCACCACTAGAGGTGGCTTACTGGAAGCCATCGAAGTGCCAGCCGCAGAATGAGACTTGCCGGGAGGTGAGTCCTCATTAGAGACGCGGAGCTCACTCCCTCCCCCTCGCAGCTCTCAGCGCTCCGCCCCGCCTGATCCTGCCCACACCGCCCGGGGGTCCCTGTGAGAGCTGAGGGCTGTGCTGCCATGCTCAAGCGCTAAGTGAAGGCAGAAAACCAGAGCTCAAGTTGTACCAAATTTTCAAAGATTTTATACCGTGACGATCTTCTCAATTCCTAAAAACTACCTTTATGCAGAGGCAACGGTTTTTGTTCTAAATGCTTCCATACTTACAAGAACACACGTCAGATCCCTCTAAGGGACTAAGGGACAGTGTGGTGGGAAGGTGAGAAGCTGAAGAGCTGGGAGCCTCCGGGCCAGGCTCAGCACAGCCGCTCGTCAGCCGGGGGCCTCGCTGCGTCCCCTTACAGCTATTTGAAGATTTTAAAAAGCACTTTGAAAAAAATGTATACATTATTGTAGCGTTAAAGCTCCAGCCTCCACACAAGACCTTAAAAGTGGGAAATAATGAAGTGGAAGGAACAAGTCCTAAGCCACAGGAAAAGCAAATGACCCTGTTATATACAGTGTCACTTACGATCGTAACCCACAGCCACACAACCCACCCTCTGCAGCCCCTTTTATGTTCTCCACCATAACTTAGTTCCTAAACGTGAGGGACCCTGTGCTGTGTGCCTGGGGTGCCATTTTGGAGATCGGTCACCAAAACCCAGACCCACCATCATCTTCACTCCTTTCCCCCGTCATCTCCACCGACTCGGACAGCGAGGCCAGGGAGGTGCGTCTGGAGGAGGCTGCAGAGGTCACGCTGGCTTGCTTGCTGCCCGGGAGCCGGCTCACCCAGTGTTCACACAGGGAGGAACTGGTGGAGCCTGCAGAAAAGGAAGCGGGCGTCGAGGTCAGGCCAGGATCTCGGGGCCCGTCTGCCCTGCGCACGCCATCAGGAAGGGCTGCTGCCCGAGCCGGGGGTGGCCACCATCCTCACCACCAGGTCAGCCTTAACCCCCAAGCCCCACATTGTGCCTGCTCAAATACCCTGTTAGGATGAAAAGAAGGACAGACTCCCACACGTGTCTGCAGTGATAAAACCCGAGCACAGGGATGGGTACTTCATAACGCAAAGTCCAAGTCTTAAGTGCTGGCGATACAATGGAACAGAGACAATCATTCATGTATTCATTTATTCTGCAAACATTTGCTGAGGCTGAGCTCACACCCTCCTCCTTGTCAGTCACTGTTCTAAGCACTCGTAGGAATATTTCTGACACAGAGAGAAGAAACCAAGCAGCAGTGCACTGTTATTTTCTTGGCCTTACTGTTAAGTGGTATTTTAAAATCACTTTCACAATATTAATATACAAACACACGTGCACACACAGGGCTACATGCCATTCTGTCCTGTTTCAGAGAGGCCCTTCGATATATATTAGAGCAACAGAAACTGCTCTTGAAATTGAGAACATGAGGCAGCATGACTGTCTCAAGTAGACCTCAAGAAAGGGTAATTTCTGAGCATACCTCAGCCCCTGGAAAGCCCTGTGGGACGCGGTGGAGCCCTGGAGCTCCCACCTTTCCATTAACTAAGAGCACGCCTACAGACAGAGGGGTGTGCTGGGAGCTGGGGGGGGGTCTGACTCCAGCAGGGGTCACTCTGCTTCAGCGATGCTTCCTTTTCATGGCGTCGAGCTTCAAGGGGAGCAGGGATTAAGATTCTCTAACCTGATCACACATTACCATGTCTTAGTCCTCTAGTCTCTTAAACTCCACTTCAGCATTAAGAAGCATGCATCCCCTGGGTTGGATTGTGTGTGGCTGCGTCAACATCGCATGTGGGCGCTGCTTCCTGAGTTTATTAAACACAGCAGACTAGATCCCATCAAGCTAAACCCCAGCCATCTAATATTATTTCAGCCTTCGATCCTTCCCCTAACAGAAGAGGCTGATCTTACGGGGAAAAAAGAACAATTTCTATCGGTGCTTTACAAAAGGCCTTAACGCATGTTTACCTAATGAGACACAGCAAAGACCCCAGGAGGCAGGCAGCCTGATTACACCCAGACTACAGATGACAGGTACGTGGCTTGGGCAGGACGTGCTCCAAGAGAACTCGACCAAGATGTGACAAAGCCGAGTCTCCGTTCTATTTCCAGATCGCTCAGTCCCTCTACTCCGAGAACAGCGTGTCATGCTGCTTTTTCCACTCACTCAGACATGTGTTTGCTCCACAAGTAAACACCGCAGGCTTACTCTGAACCGGGCTCCACTCCCCCTCCAGCCCCTGGAAAGCCCTGAGGGACACAGCCACTCCTAGTTCACAGCCGCTCCTACATCCCACCCCCATTTCCTTGACTGCAATCCTTCTGGTTTCCAGACTATATGCACCTGTGAGAACTAATCTGATCCAACTGACAGAATCATGAGACTTTCTGGAGAAATTCTCTGGACCATTAATTACAATTTTCTGCTCGGGGGAAAAAACTGCCCAAGTGCAGTGTCGGCCTTACCTGCCACCGAGCTGTTGGCCGACCACGACGGAATGGCTGTCCGCCTCTGGTAGAAGAGGATGTAGGCCGTCTGCGTGCAGACCTCATCTTCCGACAGCTGCTGCACCTCACTGTCATCGAAGCAGTACCAGAGCCCGTCCACCGAGTTCTTACAGAACGCTGCCAAAAAGAGCCCACCAGCGATCAGCACCGGGGGTGGCGGCGCCGCTGCTCCACGCCACCCACACACATCGTTTCTTTGGCTCACAGAATTAATTCAAGAACCTTCTAAGGCTACAGGTAGTAACACAGAGAGAGGTTTAAAAAAATTCAAATTTCAAACCACACTCAGGCAAAATGTTTCAAGAAATCCCAAACTATTACAAATGGATGAAACTCTATTTAATCTCAGAAAACACAACACACTTATTTAAACCAGTGGGTCTCAGGCAGGGACGATTTTTCCCCCTAGGAGATATTTGGTAATGAATGGAGAAAATTTTGACTGTCACAGCTGAGGAGGGTAGGGGAGGATGCTACTGGCTTCTAGTCAGTAGAGACCAGGGATGCTGCTAAACATCCTACAATGCTCAGGACAGCCTCACAATGAAGCACTACCCAGCAAAAATGTTAATAGTGCCACGAGTGAGAAACTCTGGGGTTTTTTTGTTTGTTTGCATGGAGGTACTGGGGATTGAACCCAGGACCTTGTGCATGCTAAGCACTTGCTCTACCACTGAGCTATATCCCATCCTCTGTGAAACTCTGTTTAAAACATGTTGTAACATATTAGTGTTTATTAGAGATAGAAAATAGAATTAGAAATAATAGTAGCAGTGGATAACATTTGTTTAGCACTCATTACGTGCATCTCATTTAATCCTATGGGATTTGTCCTATTATTATTCCCATTTTACAAAGGCTCAAAAAGACTAACCAGCTTGTCCAAGGCCATGCAGCTGGTGAAGGGAAGGGCCCAGCTCATTTCAGGACTGTCCAATCCCTGAGCTTACTGTTAAACCCCGACCCTACCCTGTCGCTCTCAGAGGTAGCGCAAACGATGCCTCATGAAGTCCCCCGGCAAACCGAGAACATCTGCGCTCATGAATGCATGCGGCCTGCTCTCTGGTTCAAATTCTAAGCCTGAGATAAAAACAGAGCATCCAAGTACCAGCAAGAAGGGACACAACTTAGTGTTCGTGAAGCCACATCACCCTGTAAAGACGTAGCAAGGAGCAGGTAAGCCTGATCCAGGAAGGTACGTTCTTATTACACTTGCTAAAAACACCCATTTATTGGGGTGAAAGTAAGTGCGCGCTAGAATATTTGGTTAACGCTGCGTCAGTAGGGCCCCCGGGGCACCAGGCGGGCCTCCCTCCGTCGGCCACTACCACTTTCCTAAGCACAGACTCCCAGGAGATGCAAGGGACCCGGGAGAGGAAGGGCTGTTCCAGACAGGTCTGGAAAAAAAAGAGCAGAATAAGACTGAGGCTGCAGGGAGGGAAGTCAGCCACAGCGGCAGACTCACTAGAACCAGAGGGGAGAGCGCTGGAGACACAGGCAGCAAACGGAGCAGGTAAGGCAGCACTCGTTTGCCCGATGGCGTCGGGCCAGGCTTGATGCACAGACAACCCCGCTGGTGGGGGGCTGCTATTCGGGGTGGGGGTGGGGGTGACGGTAAGAGAAGGTGCCAGAGCAACCCCGTGCTAGCTTCAGCCTGTTTCTCTTCAGGACGGTCTGTCCTCAGGCATGGCGTGGAAACCCGGGCAGCACCGTGACTCACTAATGCATCAACGATGTACTTATAAAATAATTCTGTGTGCTTTTCTTCCTAGCACCACTTTCTGAGGTGTTTTCTAGACTGGTGCTACTCAAATTGTGGCTCACAGACTGGTCACAAGATAAGCCAAAACGAGGTAAGCATTTTAAAAAGTTCATGGCAATCTGACACTGCATGATATTTTTACTGCATTTTTGCAAAAACACTGGGTTCAAGAAAGACTAGAAAATTTTTTAAAGGTTTAAAAGAATTTTTTAAAGGTTCTTCATCACAGATGGGTTGAGAAGCACCATTCTAGAATCCTTACACAAGTCAGCCATGCACGTACCGTGTAATTATAGTTAGAATCAGTGTGAAGTAAAGACCACGGCAAAATAAACACTCCGAATGAAAGCTCAAAAACAAGGTACCCTTAACTCAGCAATGCTGAGGTACTTCAAATGTTCTTCCCCGAAGAGCAGTGATACGGCCTGAGTACAGGAAAGGGGAAGTAATGCAGCGGGTTTGAACTCTGCTCAGGTAACAGCCCCGGAAGGAGGCAGGATCTCTTCCGGCTCCCTCATGCAGTCGCCAGGTTAGAATAAGGGGCTCACCTGAGGGCACAGAGCTGGGAAGGCGTGTCTGGCTCCTAACCCACACTCCTCTCACCAGTTTGCACCGCCTCCGAGGTAGGTACGGGTTTCCAGGCACTTTCCAAAGCCTGTTCTACGTAAAGAGCAACACGATAGGCTAAAATCTAGCACTATCCTATTTTTCTCAACAATTTCTTGCTAGAAACTACACAACGTGCTCATCATACTTTCCTGAGAAGCAGCGTTACACGTGGAAGACGCGTTCTTTACTGGAGGAAGCTAGCTGAACACCAACCAGGGATGCTGGCCAAGGCGTCACTTCACCAGCTGAGTACATAATTCTGTGACTCAGCATCAAAGACCACAGATGACCAGTAATGCCACGAAAGCAAGAATCCAACTGGACACACAGCATTTATTATATAAGTGGCCCCCATAAAATGTAAGTGTGAAATATGTAAGACACAAAAAAACAGTATTAAAATTTGGTTTATACCAAATACGAGGTAAAACATATTGAAACATTTAATTAATATTAACTTTGTCCTCT